TAGTAAGCAATAAGAACTGCTACTATGGTAGTAAAGTGGTAGTAAAGTATAGCTACTATTCATTTAAGCACATCTACCATATTAAGCAGGACTTGGGGAAGTGACAAGTAGACTGGCTGGAGGATTCTTGAAGTTTTAATCTATTCCAGATCCCTTTTCTTTTATGTATTTATTTATCCCCTGCCCCATGTTCAACCACAATGTGATTTAAGACAATATGCACCCGGCTGTCTACATCCCAGGATGCTGAATGCATAGATTCCACTATAAACATTTTGAAAGCATTTCTTAAAAAAAAATCTGAAACCCAAACCTTGTTTTTGCCATTTTATATACAGAACACCATTTTACTATGCCAATGTATACAATGGGACTTGGACATCTATGGATTTTGGTATTCAGGGGAGTCTTGAAACCAAACCCAGCACACCCCCTTCTATCACATTTTTAATACGCCTGGAAATCATTATTCGTTCTCCTAAAAAAACCAGTCATACATATTTTACTACCTCTTTTAAACAATCACTACTTCCTCTGAAATTTACTTCATGGTTGACCTGTTATAATTTCCAGTTGAATTCCACTGATTTTTCTCCCCTTTGATCCTTTCAGCCTCTGGAATTTCCACAGAAAGGGCTTTTACAGCAAACTTTTGTCTAATATGAGCCACCCTCCTCCAGATTGTTTTTCTTCCATTTGATCCTTAATTTTCCTTTAAATACCCCCTCATTTTCATCCCCTACTTGGTCTATTGCAGTCATCTCCTCCTATCACAACTTGACCAGAATGTGAGAAAAGTGTTGCTCCAGAAGCTGGAAGCAGTTCTTTCCTCATGTTGTCAAAGGCTTTCATGACCAGAATCACTGGCTTTTGTGAGTTTTTTGGGCTGTATGGCTATGTTCCAGAAGCATTCTTTCCTGACGTTTTGCTCACATCTATGACAGGCATCCTCAGAGGTTGAGAGGTCTGATGGAAACCAGCTGCGATGTTTATATATCTGTGAAATGCCCATGGTAGGAGAAAGAACTCTTGTCTCTTTGAGGCAGGTGTGAATCTTGCAATTGGCCACCTTATATTAGCATTGGATAGCCTTGCAGCTTCAAAGCCTGGCTGCTTCCTGCCTGGGGGAAATCCTCTTCTCTATCCCTACAAAACACAGTATTCCCCCAAATTGTATACACCCTTTAAACAGCCAATAGTAGCTATGGTGATTATCTGAAGGCTAAGGAAATACATTTCTATGAAAGAATAAATGCTACAATGATGATTGAATCAGAGTTGAAAATTCCATCTTAAATTGCCATTTTATTTGAGGTGGTCAAAGTGTGCCCCATGCATGTGCATTGCTTGCCTTGTACAGAGAAGCACAGAATAGAAAACATTGTATCAAGTTTCTCTTGTCATTTTGTGACATTTCTCTAGTCTTGGCATCTTTAAGCCTGTTAAAGATGTAAACTTTTGGGGGGACACCCTGTAAACTGTGATCTGGCTGCCTCTAATGCAGGTATGGGCAAACTTGAGCCCTCCTAGTGTCTTTGACTTCAATTCCCACCATTCCTAACAGCCTCAGGCCCCTTCCTTTCCCCCCTCAGTCACTTACGCGGGAAAAAGGAAAGGGCCTGAGACTGTTAGGAATGGTGGGAATTGAAGTCCAAGACACCTGAAGGGCCCAAGTTTAGCTATGCCTGCTCTAAGTGGACACAGCCATAAATGGGAGTTTTGTGTGTGTGCCTTCAAGCTGCATGTCGAGTCATGGCGATCCCATGAATTTCATAGAGTTTTGAAATGCAAGATAGTTTTGCCAGTTACTTCCTCTGAAATATAAGATCTGGGATTCATTCATGATCTTCTGAAATTTTGTAAAAAGTGATTAAGGAATTGAACCAAACTTGGTACACAGAACTCCCATGACCAACAGAAAATACTGGAAGGGTTTGTGTTTTGGAGTGTTCACCTATATCCAGAGATAACTGTGGACCCAAATAATGTTGGATTTAGACCAGCACGGAAGGGTTTGGTGGGCAGTGTCTTTTGGTTTTGGAGTTGTAGTTCACCTACATCCAGAGATAACTGTGGACTCAAACAATGATGGATCTGGACCAAACTTTACACGAATATTCAAATGCCCAAATGTGAACACTGGTAGAGTTTGAGGAAAATCGACCTTGACATTTGAGAGTTGTAGTTGCTGGGATTTATAGTTCACCTACAATCAAAGAGCATTCTGAACTCTACCAACAATATAATTGGGCCAAACTTCCCACACAGATTCCCCATGACCAAATATATATTTGTGTTTTCTGATAGTCTTTGGCAACCCATCTGACCACCCCCCACTCGAGACCCCCCCCCTCCCCAGGAGACCCGACCAACAGGTTGAGAAATGCTGCTCTAGGGTTAGATGGCCTAGGTTTGCAAGGTTTCCCTGGCAAAGAGAGCTTAGGATCCTCGCGCATCAAGTGGTGTCAAACGGCATTCGTTGTACAATGTGGACCACCAACGTGAGAGGCAGGAACCAAAGGAGGAGAGAGAGAATAAGGCGCGGGGGGGGGGGGGGGGGGTGGAGAAAAGAGAGCGGGAGAAAGAAGGAAGGAAGGAGCGAAGAAGGAGGGAAGAAAGCGAAGGCTGTTTGGGGGGACGTTCCTCCGTCTCCTTCGACGCCCTTCTTCCTCCTTACTTCTCAACGAGCAGAGAAAGACTGGGCAAAACCCGCGTCCCGCCAAAAAGGGGTTGGTTTTGAAGAACTGATGGGGAGAAGAAGGGTTCAGGAGTTGTCTAAGGTGGGACCAACCTGGACGCGACATATTATTTGAGAACACAGAAATGTTGGACCGCTCTAACAACCACCATGCCAGACTACACAGAGAAACTATTTGAAATCCACAAGCATGTGGACGAAGGAGGAAACCATGAAAATGGACAAAATTTGGCTACCAGTATTTAAAAAAAACTCTAAAATTAGGACAATAACTAAAGAGCAATACTCTAAAAACAGGGGAATTCCAGACAGGAAACAATCAAGGCCAATTTTTTTAGTGTGTGTGTGTGTGTGTGTGTATCAGGAGCGATTTGAGAAACTACAAATCGCTTCTGGTGTAGGAGAATTGCAAGGATGTTGCCCAGGAGATGCCTGGATGTTTTGATGTTTTACCATCCTTGTGGGAGTCTTCTCTCATATCCCCACATGGGAAGCTGGGGTTGACAGAGGGAGCTCATCCGCACTCTCCAACCAAGATGGCACAAGAGTTTAACCCATTGTGCCATTGGGGGCTCCAAGGCCAGCTAACATCTCCCAACAAAAGAGTCCCCCAGGCAGTAACCAGCCAGGCTTTGAAGCTGCAAGGCCATTAAATGACCCCTTCCCCCAGCACCAACTGCCGCTCTGTGCCAGTGTGAAGAGGGGGGTAGGTGGGCAGGGGACATTTCCACCTTGTCTCCTGCATATGTCATCAGTTGGGGACCCCTTCCCCCAGCACCAACTGCTGCTCTGGGCCAGAGTGGGGGGGGGGGGGGCAGGGGACAGTTCCACCTTGTCTCTTGTGCTATGCTAATAATCTAATATAATATATGGTATATACATATAATATTTATAATATTATAATTTAATACAGTATACTGCTACTACTACTACTACTACTAATATATTATAATTTTAAATGTTTATATTACATGTAATATTACTAGTAATGTTACAATATAATGATATAGTACAATATAGTAATATATAATACTGATATTGTACTATGCTAATAATATAATGTATTGTATGTGTATACACACACACACACACACATATCTTGTAAGCCGCTCTGAGTCCCCTTCGAGGTTAGAAGGGCGGCATATAAATGTCATAAATAAATAATAAATTTATAAAATGGTTGATTTCTAAATATATGGTGAAGGAAAAGATATTTGTTCAGGCCTTGGTGGTGGGGCTGTGTCTTTGTAAAATGTTCACTGTTTTGTGTTTTGTTTACCACTGTAAGTTGTTATTGTATGCAAATAAAATCTTTATTTTAAAAAATAATAAATAATCAAGGTGGCCAATTGCATCATCCACACTTGCCTCATACAGATCCCACAACCTCTGAGGATGCCTGTCATAGATGGGGGCGAAACGTCGTTAGAGAATGCTTCTGGAACATGGCCATACAGCCCGGAAAACTTCCAGCAAGCCACCTTCAGGAGTGCTGCGCGTGGCCCTAAAGTGGGCTGGACTGGTGCTCTCTTCCAACTCTTAGAGGACTATTCTACATATAGATGATGGGCTAAAAGGGAAGCGGACTTTCCAGGAAGGAAGGAAGGAAGGAAGGAGGTGTTTTTTTTTCTCCCGTCCCTCCTCGTCCGCCTCCACCTCGAGCTCAAGGGATTAGCGCGGATTGAGAGTTTGTCTCAAAGCCGGGGGCGTTGAGGGGAAGAGGCGCGTGCCGCTGTCGGGAGCGCGCGCGCCCTCTTTCTCTGCCTCCTTCGCCTTTTCCAAAGAGAGAGAAGAGAGAAGGGGGGGAGGGGGTGCGGATTCGCGCGCCTCTGAAAGAGAGGGAGGGGAAGTGCGCAGGCGCGACGCCCGCCCGTCTGCTGCTGCTGCTGCTCCCGCTCTTGCCGCCGCTTCCTCCTCCGCTGCCGGAGTCTGCCTTCTCCTCTCCTCGCCCGCAGCCCGGGCTTCCCGTCTCCGCTCAGTTGCCGGCGAGTTGATGGCAGCGCCGGAGGAGAGCGCCTTGCCTCGGGAAGCGGAGCCCAAAATGTGCCGCCCCGAGGAGGAGGAAGAAGAAGAAGACGAAGAGGCAGGCAGCGGCTGCCCGGAGAGGGACGAGCGCCAGGAGGAGCAGCAGCAGCGTCGCCGCCGCCGTCGCGCGGGCCCTTCGTCGTCGGTGGCCACTCAGCAGCAGCAGCAGCGGCGGAGGCAGCGGCTCTCCTGACCGGCCTCCACGCCTCCTCCTCCTCCTTCTTCGCCTCCTCCTCCTCCTCCCCCCTCCTCCTCCTCCTTCTTCCTCCCGCGAAGCATGTCCGCCAAGCCCAAGGGGACCCCCACCACCTCCTCGTCGGCCACCTCCTCGTCCGTCTCCTCTCCCGCCGAAGGGGCGCCGGCCGCCTCCAAAGCCAAGGTCAAGGAGCAGATCAAGACCATCGTGGACGATTTGGAATTAGTCCTGGGGGACCTGAAGGACGTGGCCAAGGAGCTCAAGGAGGTGAGCGGGAACCCCCGAGGGGCGGGTGGCCGACGGGGAAAGGCAAGACGGAAAGCCCGCAAAAGCCCCTTCGCGCTGCTCGAGGAGGGAAGGAACGCGCCGCCCTCTCCCCCCCCCTCCTCCTCCTCTCGTCTGGCCCAACTCTGCGCGAAACTCTCGGGAAGGGCGTCGAGGCTGAGCAACTCGTGGCTCCCGAGGGAGGAAAGGCGCCGGCGAAGAGGGGCACACACACAGGCACACACTCCTCGCCCAAAGGCCGCCGGAAGGAGGGCAGCTGCCGCTTTTCGGGGCCTTTGGGCGACTTCGTAGGACGAAGCCGAACTACCACCACTGCTTCCTCCTCCCTTTCTTTCGCCTTCTTTCTTCCCTTCCGCGTTTACTTCCAAAAGGCTCCCAGTCCTTTGGGATAGAGATGAACTCGAGAGGGTTTGTTTGGAAGGATCCTACTTCTTTCCATCCCTCTTTCCTTTCCTTCCTTCCTTCCTTCCTTCTATCTTTCCTTACTTCCTGCTTTCCTTCCTTCTTTCATGCCTTCCTTCTTTCCATCCATCTTTCCAGTCTTTCCTTCCTTCTTTCATTCTTTCCTTACTTTCTTCTTTCCTTCCTTCTTTCCATCCATCTGTCCAGTCTTCTTTCTTTCCTTCCTTCCTTCCTTCTTCCATTCCTTCCTCCCTTCTTTCATTCTTTCCTTTCTCTCTTCTTTCCTTCCTTCCTTCCTTCCTTACATCTATCTGTCCAGTCTTCTTTCCTTCCTTCCTTCCTTCCTTCCTTCTTCCATTACTTCCTTCTTTCATTCTTTCCTTTCTCTCTTCTTTCCTTCCTTCCCTCCTTCTTTCTTCCCTCCTCCTTCCTTCTTTCTCTCTTTCTTCTTTCCTTCCTCCTTCCTCCTTCCTTCCTCCTCTTCCTTCCTTCTTCCTTCTTCCTTCCTTCTTTCCTCTTCTTTTCCTTCCTTTCTTCTTCCCCTCCTATCTCTCCTTTTTCCTCCCTCCCTCCCGCCTTTCCTTCCATATTTCCTCCCTCTCTTCCTTCCCGCGAAAGTGGCTCGGAGGTTCTTCCAAGTGCCGCCCCTCCCTCCCTCCTTCCCTCCCTCCCTCCTTTCTTGCCCCTCTTTCGAGTTTGGGTTGTATGTCGCTTGAGGAATGTGGGGTGGAGAGAGAAGACGAGAAGGAGGAGTTGTGCCTCGCCGTCTCTTCGCGTGGAAAGACTGCGTGGGCATCTCTTCCTCTCCCCCCCCCCGCTGTTCCCCTCCCCTTTCTCCCACTCTCTCGGGATCCAGATTTAGCATTTAGTCATTGCGTTTTGACGCTTCCTTCCCTGACAGCAGCGACGGCACTTAACGCCTAAGAGATGCCCCCCTCCCTGTTCGTGTGTGTGTGTGTGTTTAAATCTGTTCTTTCTGTCGCGGATGTTATTTTAAGACGCTCAGGAGGGGGCGAGGAGGAAAGGTCTCGGCGTGGAGCCTGTCAAACTCATTAAAGTTCCTGCGAAAGGGGGATCCCTGGCCCGGAAGGGAGGGCTTGCTTTGGGGCTCCTGGCAAGGGCGAGGGAAGCCAGAGATCTCCTCCCAAGCTCCACTCAGTGCTTGCGGTGTGTGACGCTTTGCGAGATACCGAGCCCTTGCAAACCAAACACACCCTCAAATGCAGGAAGGATACAGGCCTGTGTGAACTGGAGGACTTTGTCAGCACCACAATCCAAGTCTAATTTTAAGCGTGCAAAGTGTGTGCCAACCGTGGCCCTTTCCCTGCTTCCTTCCAACTTCATTGTAGGCAATGGCTAGATGTCATCTTGATAGATGTTTCAAGCTTTTTAAGCCTTCCTTTTTAATCTGACTTTTACTAGCCTTCATGGGTTCACGTTTTGCTGTGGTGGCTACAGGTTGTGCTACCATCCTTATGGAGTTTTCACAATGGAAGCAGAAGACATCTCTGCTCAAAGAGCCTACCCAGAGGGAGATGATGATATTTGATATTTTTATCCACTACACTAGAGAGATTTGGCTATCTTTAAAGAAAGGGAGTGGAGAGCCATTTCCTCCCTTTTCTGTTGTTTAACACCCTGGATCAGATAAGTCTGAATGACAAGTGTGAATTCAGATATACTGTAGACCAGGCATGGGCAAACCTTCTAATTTGGGAGCTGCATGGCGGGCTGGAGTGGGGTGGGCAGGCCAGGAGGGAGGGGTTTTTTCCCCAAAGCCCCTCCCTGCCCCTTCCTTGCCTTCCCCTTCTCTTTCGGAAATGTTTGGATCCCGAAAGGGTTGGTCTTGGTCAGGATGAGATGGTGGACAGGAGGGAAAAAGTGTATCAATGAGACCCCGTATTGGTTATTCCTGATATAGAACCCTAGAATCCTAGCACTGGAAGAGACCCCCAAAGACCATCCAGTCCAACCCCCAACCATGCAGGAAGGCACAATCAAGACACTCCTGATAGACAGCCTCTATGGAAAAGCCTCCAGAGAAGGAGACTCCACCACACTCTGAGGCAGCCTATGCCACTCGCCAGGAAGTTTTTCCTCATCTTTTCAGTCAAATTCCTTTCCCTGCTATTTGAACCCATTGCTCCCTTGTGCCCTGGTCTCTACAGCAGCAGAAAGTCAGTTTTTCCCCTTCTCTTCTTCCTCCTCAATGGGACACCCTTTTACATCTTGAAACATGGTCCTCATGTTCCCTCTCTACCTTCTCCTCTCCCAGCTAAATTTTGCTCAGGAGGAAAGGAGGGTGGAAAAAGAGAAGGAAGGAAGAAAGGAAGAGAAGGGTGGGAGGGAATTGAGGGAGGGAGAGAGGAAAGAGAGAAAGAAAGGAAAGGAAGGAAAGAGAAGGAAGGAAGGATAGGATGGTGTGAGAGAGGAGGGCCTGAGAAAAGAGGCCAAGGGGCTGCATCCGGCTCCGGCCTGGGTTTCCCCATATCTGCTGTAGACCCATTGTTGATGTGGCAGGATTATGCTGCAAAAGCTAAAACCATTATATCAGTGAAACTTCTATCTTGCTGTACATGGATATGATTGGGCAGCAAAGGTGCAAGACGTCAGGGATAGAGCTGTTACAAGTGTCAGCAGCTGCAACTTCCCTTTTGGAAAGGCAATTGCTAGAAACAGTTTGGATGGTTTTTTTTTCTTTTCAGGCATGAATCACAAAAGAAATGTTGTACACCATATTTATTTGTCTCTTGTATCTTTGAAATGAATATAATGTATCCTTAGCCGGCAGCTGCTGTCAGCTCCTATAGTTACTTTGTCCACCTGGAACAATTGCTGTGGTGATATTGGGAAGCAGCAAAACATTGCAATTCAGTGTAACTTCTATATCCTTTTCGAAAGTTTCCTCAGATCATTGGTGTGGGTGTGCTTGTGTGGGTGCTTTGGTGGCACAACTGGTAGACAGATGGTAGGATTATGCGCTGCAAATCAAGTCCAAAGCATGTGTGCGTCCTCTCTAATCCTTCACATTACATGATAAAATTCTCCCCAATGGCTATTTCCTAATTTAGTTGGGGTTTAACAAGTTGTTTTCTCTTAAGAGGACTGAAAAGCAGTTTTTCATTTCCATGAAGTTCAGAAAATCTGCCTTAAATCTCACTCTTTTTTCACCAAACTACCCCCCCCCCCCAGTAATATATGCAAGCGGCTTATTTGTTATCTGAAGGTATATATTCTTCAAGCTCCCTGATGCCCATCAGATGTGCTTGATGACAATTCCTTATCAGCTCCAACTAGCATGACAAAAATCAGGGGAACAGAAATGTTAAAAAAAAAAGCCTGGATGGCACCAGGATGGAGAAAATTGTGTTGTGGCGTTCTCCCTTCAAGCCATTTCTAGCTTATGGTGACCCCAAGACAAACTTATTACAGAGTTTTTTGGCTAGATTTTTTTTCAAAGAAGATGTATCGTTGAAGGCTTTCATGGCCAAAATCACTGGGTTGTTGTGATTTTTCCGGGCGGTATGGCCATGTTCCAGAAGCATTCTCTCCTGATATTTCGCCTGCATCTATGGCAGGTATCCTCAGAGGTTGTGAGGTTCAGAGAAGGTTAGTTATTGGCTTCTTCTGGGACTGGTACAATGGGATTTTCCAAATGCAACCATTGGGTTTCCTTATCTGAGTGAAGAGATGGATCCTGGTCTCCCAGACTCATAGTCCAACACTCAAACCTCTGTGCCATGTTCAGGGGCGGCTCAACCATTACGCAAAGTAAGCATTCCCAGTATAGTTGATTTTGCCCAGTATAGTTGATTTTGCGCTCTTGAGGCGCTCTTGGGGGGAAATAGACCTTGACATATGCGAGTTGTCGTTACTGGGATGTATAGTTCACCTACAATCAAAGAGCATTCTGAACTCCACCAATGATGGAATTGAACCAAATAGGGCACACAGAACTCCCACGACAAACAGAAAATATGTATCAGTGATTGGTTGGGGGGGGGCACCAAAATACTGTTTGCTTACCATTGAAAATTACCTAGGGCCGCCTCTGGCCATGTTTGCCGTCAAAAATTGCCTAGAGAAATAGTATTCATTTAAAATTTTGGATGGGTTTCTGGTTCTACACTTGCCTGCATACTGTTTCGTCTCTAGAAACAATATTTTAAGATTGTTGGGTGTTTTTTTTTTTTGCCATCACTGAGCCAAGATACTTTTGAGTTTCTGATTATTCACTCTTAAAATCTAGGCACGATTTCTATAAGGAAAAATCACATGTTGTCATTTGCTGTGATTTTGTTTTAGGTAAGCAAGCTTGTTTATAGCCATTGACTGAACAACTGATGAAAAAGCAATAAAGGTTTTCCTGCCTGTAGCTGTAATAGTTTTCATGGAATATACTCTAAGCCTGTCAGAAAGCTAGAACTTGTAATTACAACTTTATGTACCTAAAATAACCATTTTAAAATACTGGGTTCTTTCAAAACACTGTTCATTAACACACAGTTCATCTGTTTTATCAAATGGGTGTATATGTTTTCTTTGAAACCCTAGAATCATTGAGTTGGAAGAGGCCTCAT